TATCAACTTATACTAATGTATCTCTACATCTAAAGTAAAATGTACTCAAAAGGAAAAAAAATCCAGTTAAGATAAAACAGTAAGTTTGATAATGCAGCAGGATTTTCATGACAGTATTTTGACTGATGAAAGGACCACTTCTCTCTGAAATGCAAGTTCAATACTAACATATGAAGTTACTGCAACAACTTTATGACTTCAGGAAAATCTTGTACTCTAAAGCCAAATCCATGGCAGTGTTGAATGGCCTTAGATGGTACTAGAACAGCCTAAACACTTATCAGAAGCATTTTTCTGGGTACAAATAACAGACCTGTAGTAAAGGAAGACTGAACACAAAGTAACTCTGTTAACTAACCTTCTACATGTATTGACAAAAATGCCTGCATTCCTTCTGCATCACAGCTTTGGTAAGCTGATGCAGAAAATTATCTATAGAATAACTATAGATGCAGCTTTGGTAACCTGATGCAGAAAATTATCTATAGAATAACTCAGTTCCAAGGAATCATTATTGCCTAAATGTTGCACTATGATTACTTCAGGTATCATATTCCTAGCTTTTCCTTCTTTCCACCTACTGACTCTCAGATGGGTTACAGAGCTAACTGAAAATTTAATTTAAACTCATTTCTGTCAAAGTGCTCCATTTCTCAGTGGAATGTTTTATAAGAAACACTTTTAAGAGAAGATTGTTGCTTTTGAATCAATATTTTTATGTCAGGCTTGATAAAATAGAAAACTCCTTCAGACTTCTCATCACAAGAGATACTGCATTACTACTACAATCTTTAAGGACCTTGATTTTGCAAAAAAAGGGGAATAAATGAACTTCAAGAAAACAAAATATTTTTTATTTGCTTTTCATTTTCAGTAACACCTTATGAAAACAGGATAACTACAGTAAACTGTGTTTTAAAAGGCACCACTCCTACCGAGTTGATGCGTAAATATTAATGTGGTGACAAGAAATTATTTGAAGCAAAATTGTTTTCATGATCTATTAAATGTATGATGCTGGAGTTATAGTAAGATACAGTTCAAAATCTGAAACACAGTTGAGTGAGGCTCTTGTTACCGAAGACATTGCAAACCCAGGGGAATGACAGCACCCAAGCAGAATGGTTACCATTATACTGTACTACCCCTTCTGGAAGTATGGAAAATACCTGCCCCTGGTCTGCTTCTGGAAGAGTAGAGGACTCCCAGAATTCCCAGTCAGTGTAACAGTCAGAACAGCAACCCGCCTAAATAAATTTCACTGTTAAAGGAACTGATCCAACCCCCTAAGATGGGATATCTGTGCTGACAAAGGCATATAAAGGACTGTCTTGTGTTTTTTCTTCAGATTACTAGGGCTTTTGTTATGAATATCAACCGGCCTGAGATTTCGCCTGCATGGTTAACAAGTACATCTGAGAATAGATTCAACTGAGTGTTATCTAAACTGATCTAGGTTCTGGATACATGCCCAGACATTTATGGTGTCTGGTTTAAGTTTTTATTATTATGCAATGTTGTTGGTTGGTGATGACACAAAGATGTTAACCAAGTTAATCTTTAAAGATCAAACTCAACTACCTGACTTTTAAATTAAAAGATTTTTAGCCAACAGACACTGAATATGTAGAATAATATCCATGATGGAAAGGATGTTTAGGATATTGCCTTTCCTGCCTCTTAAATTATTTCTATTATTAATTACTAGGTGTTGACTCCATTATTCCAAATCTTGATCAATTCCTTCTATCTGCTATATGGCCTGTTTTATGACCTATTTAATGACCCTTTTACTGGAAATTAGAGAATTGGTAATTTCTTTAACTTATATTTGTGACTTTTCATACTTCCAACAGACTACATAAATCAGTATATTTTCTAAAGTTTGAATCTGAAAGATCATGCAACCTGAGGTAAGCACTACTCTCAAATGATGTTATTTCTTACATTAAATTGCATTGAGATTCAAATATTTCCAAATTTGTGTTACAAAACAATGCAACAACTAACAGTTGAAGAGCAACATTTTTCCTAGAAACAATCTCCACGGAAAATATTTTTCACTAGTTTATTACAGAAATTTATCATTAAAACTATCATGTAATGTCCACTGACAAAAAGCTGCACCAATTCAGAAGTGTGAAAGTAAACCGAGTTTTAAGCAATATAAATGCCCACAGGCACATTCTCTTAACTGCTTTCACTCAAGTCCATTTGAACCAGGTTAATGCTAAAACAAAGTAAGTCAAACTGAAGTAAGAGTGGGTATGCACTGACTGAACTAAAACAGTGCTAGTCTGTGTGTGAATGAAACCTCACTGTTATGTCTAGTCTCCATCATAAGACCATATGTAGACAGACTTTGTTTGTTTTGGTAAGTATTTAAACACAATTTAAATTGGATTTAAGCCAGTTTGGTTTAAACAATATGTAGAATGGCTGAAAACTGGCTAATAAATCAAGTAAAATGAAGTTACAGAACAAAACATAAAATAACTTTCACCTTATTAAATTAATTTTTAAATATGTTCAAAGGACACAGTAATCTCCCTTTACATTTTCTTGATGACACCAATAAGCAAGAAGGGCACTTCTTAAGGGTGTAAGTTCAGTGAAAGAATTCAAACATTTCTTTTTTTTTTAGTTAGGAAATAAAACAGAGTGTTATGGAATGGAAGACCCCAAAATATCCATAAAGGAGAATGTTTTCGAACAAAGCTAGTTTTTATTTCCTCTTTATCCTATTATCCTTGTATTGGTTCCTTTATTTTGCATTCCAAGACAATGCTTTCTAGAGTTTTTTCAATGTTTCCACAAATTTCTTTTTCCTTAAATATGTAAAAGACTTTCTTATTTGGTATTTTGCTTTCTTGCTCTGACTTTTGTCTTCATTAAGTATCCTGGACTATATTCCCTTTTTCAGACTTGCTATATTTGTTTTAGATGGTCATCCATTTCTACCTGGCACAGACCCAGTTTTGAAGAGGACAGTTCCAGGCTGTTTTCATTTTTTTTTTTTTTTAATTTTAATTTTGGCAGTGGCAGTACAATTTGAGACATCCCCACACCCCTTTGCAAAAGTTAATGCAAAAAAATAATTTTTGTTAAATATATTGGAGCATTTCAGGTGAAAGTCTCTAAATCAGTTGAAGAAAGAGCTTTAGAACGCTAATAACTAAAAAGAGAGACATGCTTATATTTCTTACGGTTTCAAACAGGTAGAATGAAATTCAACTTCAGAGAGAGGCGTGGTGCCAGCAAATTATACACTTTCATTAGAAGAGTGGGAAAAAAAGGCAGGGCTACTATACAAAAGAATGGGGTGCAGCACTCACACAGAAAACCTAGTATTCATTCTGCATTTACTCAAACATGTTACCATATCTAGGAACACCGCTACTTTAAAATTACATACCAGTTTCATCTAAGCATTTTTAATTAGGTTACCACCAAAATATTTGCTACCTCTTCACTAATACCACTATTGCTATTACTAAGAACACACTTCATACACGTTCATTCACATCAGCACAGCGTCACTCCCTCTAGTGGGTAAGAAACAGAGCTTACACAGACAACCTGAATTTTCATACAAGAGAGAAGCACTCCTGCAGCTACACCAAAAGCAACTACACTTACTGGAGTGCAAGACTTCCATCACAGCTACAAAGACAACCACTTCGACTACTAGAAAAATGTGGGTCTAGTAACCCTGTTGTTTAATTTGGCTTCCTCAAGTTTCCAATGGCCAAAAAAGAGTTACCATGAATGCAAATATTGTGGCAGCAAGAAAAGCAGTAGTTTCTAGCTTGCTTTCACTTCAAGCAGCGTGGTAGTTTTAGTTCTCAGCTCAACAGCAAGTTTTACCTGCCAACAAGTATTTCACAAACCTGATTCTTCCTTTGCATACATTGGCTAGATACTAAACTCAAGCAGTATTAAAATCCTATGTCTTTTCCTGCCAACTAACTTATTTCATTTGAATACTTGTTTGACAAACCCAGCTCTGGAAACACTAAGGCACAGTCTGATGTTTACAAGAACTCATTTCAGCAAATCTTACTACATAAACGCATAATGAAAAGGGAAAAAAGTCATCTCAATATGTACTTGGAATTTTTTTGACTGTTATATGCTTATATATATAAGATCTGTATAGCTAACGGTATTGTAGAATACTGCCAACAGGGAAACAAGACAGGAAGAACAGGGCAATAGAAAAAAACTTTTATTTGCATTTTTCTGTATATATTACTTTCTAATGTATGATTATTACGTCCTAGTGCACATATCCAAAGAAGATGGCTAAAAATCCCAGCATCAATTTGCCGCAAATAATGTTGTAAATTTTTAAAATAAGAATGACTATCAACTGATAGATATTTTACTCTAATTGATTTAAGATACAACCAGACCCTAAACTGTGAGATGCCTTAAGCAAGGGACAGCTACTCTTACCTACAGCAAATTAAGGTGCTCACTAGTTCACAAATTGTTACTCTTCGGATAACATATCAAAACTTCATCTGAAATTATTTGGTAATTTTTAGATCGTTGTAATTTAGACTGATAAGTAAACAGTCCACTGAATCACATCACAGAGAAAATGTCTGGCAATTACATTACTTGAAAGACTATTAGCAGAACAAAATTGTTAAGTAGCACATTTGTGAGAAAGTGACATTTTACAAAAAGACAAAGGCATACGTTTTTCCACCAAAATCTAGTGCTGCTGTCATCAACAACCCAACAAAAGCTACAGCTACCTAAAATGGAAATGAAAATGTAATGTATGGAAATATTCTCTTATAAAATTTCCTTAGGCTTCACATGTATTAATGTATTAGTTTGCAAACATTAAGATCAAAGGCAAAGCAACAAATACATCCTAAAAAGTTTTTAGTCAGATTTTTATTAACGATATACAAGTAGCAAGGCATAAAAAATTAATATGTTCAAGCCTTGAAATGTCAAGTGTAATGATCTCTAGCTCTGCTTACCTCCTTTGCTTTTTGTTTCAGTCTGGCTTGCTCTGGGTCTTCTTGCCTTGAGCGACTCTAGATGTTTAAAAAAATGGGGAAAAAAGGTTAACAGATGGTTTAAGAACCCCTCATCTGTTGCAGTAAGTTAAAAAATAACAAAGAAAGGGGAACAGGATACAAGGTGTCAAAGATGGGATGCTTAAATTCACTGAAGTGCAACTATAAACCTGTAGGCCTTACCCAAAAGACTCTTAAATATTCAGTTGCAAGTAAGATCTACCCTTGGTTTAAATTAAAGAAAAACAAAACAACAAAAACACCCCAAACAAACAAACAACAACAAAAAAAACCCACCAAAAAACCAACATGTTTTTGTCAAAGTTTCCATACAGGTTAGATTTCAATTATCTAACACAAACAAATTTAAGAGCAGAAGTAACACCCCCTCCATTACCCGAACTTTTTAATTTGAACTCCTTACAGTCACTTATTTTAAAATTATCTACTGTTTTCAATTAAGCTTTTATTCAGCTGTTGGTAGAGAATGTGGAGAGAACAGTTGTAAAGTCACCCTCCCAAACAGTAGATGCTCATAATACAGCTATTATTAGCTGTATGAACTTAAGAGTACAGCATACAAATATGCTTAAGTTAAACTCATTCATGCACTACTAATACTATAATGTTATAATTTTTAAAACTGGAGAAATATTGCCAAATGGCGACTTTAATATTTTCATTCAAAACCAGGAACAATAGCTCTAAAATTCCACTAAGAATAACTGCTAAATTACAGTAACAATACATAACTGTACATTTCTTGGGATACAAACTGGTTTACAACCATATGTTAAAACTATTAACTTCTTATTCATGCTCACTAGGCATACTTGATGGAATTCAAAACTTGAGACATAGATAATATATACATTATACTTTTCAATGGCATGATTTGTCAGGATTCAGAAAAGCTTGCATGAAAAGCTGTAAGAAGCTGCAATAAAATCTGTGACATCCATGGAGAACTGTTGTCCCTGATACCTTAAAGATGTAATTGTTTTATTTTGGTGTTTCTTTGACATTTAAAGTGATATCATTTACACAGTTCCTAAAGGAATAAGAATCTCTATACCCTTTCCTATCTACCTTTCTCTGCCTCTTCTCTGCTGAAGACAAGCCTAAAACTTGAAAGAATTTTAGCTTGCAAACTTAGATTTATTTTTTTTTCCTGTTGCTTAAATTTTTCATAATATATTCTGCTCAGAAGTTAAAAAATCCATGAAGAAAACCAATGGGAGATAGGTTTTAAGGGTAAGAGGACATACAGTATTGATATATCTGGAGAGAACTTTGACTATGATCTGGCATACAGCGCACCAATGACACTGAATTCTCTATCCTCTTTTCATGTTTGTTTGGGTTTTTCTTAAAATAGGATTATTTTTCAGCTAATATACCACCCATACAAAACATAGTGATGATAAAACATGGCCAAATTAAACAATAAAGAGATTTTTAGATATGCTTTACTCTTCCACTATGCACATTAGCTTCATCTGCCACCACCACCTACAAGAGCTTTTGTGCCTGTTGGTATAATAAAAGGCAGTTTGACGGGATGGAGTAAAGTAATGACAAATTAAAATCTGTAGATTAGACTCTCAATGCTGTAGTTGTGCCAACAAAGAAAGGAACTCCAACTTAATGCAGATGGAGATTCCTTCTAACTGCTGTGGCCAGACAATAAGAAAAATGTAGATAATTTGATCATAGCAGGTGGGTTGGAATTAGATGATCTTCAACGTCTTTTCCAACCCAAACCACTCTGATTCCATGATTCTATGAACTAGTTAACATTTAAAGAACAAAAAGGCATTTCATTAAATATGTAGATCTGCAAGATCTCTATTCAGTACAGCAATTACTAAGAACATGATTATGTTTACACCTTTTAGGTTAAAACCCAAACAAAAAAACCCATTCAATGAGTTCCTTATCCAGGAGATACACATAGGTGAATATTTATGAAACGAGCTGAATTAGGTCCTTGCTCTGTCATTTTGTGATGACAGTTAATTGTTGTGTGCCTCAGTTTCTCCAGCATGATGTATGGAAAGTCATATTTAGTCCTTTCATGGGTTTTAATGATAAATTTATAAATGTGCAATGAACTTCTATTGCCTTCTGAGTCTCAGTGAAAGCAGTACAGAAATAAAAAGTGTTGTTATACCACTGTATGAAGCTGAACCATTTGCCAAATGCAAAGTACAAGTTAAAAGCATTTCAGCTTAAGGAGAAAGCATGGTGTCCTGGGAGAATCAAACTAAGACTTCTAATATTGTTCCCAACTTTTGACAAGAAAGTTGTAGAAAGTAGTTGTACAAGACAGAATCCTGGAAAACACACCAGATCTACACTGCGTTTGGGGACACTGTAAGAAAAATTAAAGCAACAGATGCAAAGTAACACTGCAACTTCCTGGACTCTGTAAGTGAAGGAACAACTCTGAAAGTGCTACAGCTTACAACACACTTAAAAGTTGGGCCTTTCCCCGGCCCATTCCAGAAACTGACCAAATAAAAGTAGATCTGGAATTCACGGCACTCTGAAAAAGCAGAGCCCAAAAGCAGGCAAAAACGCATATGATCTACTCTGTGTAACCTTCAGCTCATTCACAGTAAATAAATAATCAAAATTACTGCAGAGCTGAAAACAGGTCCTTGGCTTCTGACTGGTATTAAGTACATGGAATTTTTCAGTAAGGAAGATTTAAAATACCAGGTGATGTTTAGATATACAAACCCATACTGAAGGTGAAGGTAGAACTACTTTTATATTCAGAATAATGCAATGAGTTTCTAGTTCTTGCTTGAACTCACACCAAGTAGCCTTTTCAAGGAGCTTTGTTTCAAAAAGTAGAATCTGAACTTTACACTGGATAAGTTATTACTGGTATAACTAAGTAAAAAAATTAAGGAATTTAAATGTCATTTTCTGTTTCTTTTTGTGTTCAGACACATTTTAATAGTTTGTTTGGATTTTTTTTTTTAACAGATTGTTAAGACTAAAATACCTTCCTGCTGACTACCATGCCAGTTTGTAAAGCAGGAAGGTTCAGAAATAAAATCATCAGCATATGGAGGCTAAAATGTGTAAAGTATAAACAAAGACTACTTTACTAATTCTTTATGATCTTAAGCAAATTATAAAAGGCTTCTTCAAAGCCAATACAACACAGATTAAAGCAAATATAAACAAAGAAAAATGTCAAGCTTAACAGAGGTGCTTAGATAAGCTTTTAAAATGTCACTAGCTTCTCTTTACACTCCATTCCACATACAAGCGTCTCTTCTCTGAAGAGTATGAATAATTTTGCTGCTCCTCAGCTCTTGTAGTGCTTGTTTCTGTGCCACCATTTTCACTCATCAATTATGTTACCATTTTATACTTCTGACAAGCTACTGACTAATCATTCTTTTCTTTTGAAATTCCATTTTTTTTCTTCAATATCATCTTTTATTTTTTGTTTTTTCTTGTTTTCTCCTTTCCCTCTAACATCCAAATCTTAACATGCTACAACTCACCTGTTTTTTGAAACATATTTCAAAAATATTTTAATACACCAATGCTTCCTTCCTCTAAAAAGCTTTGGAGACACACACCAATCACTGAACCCCCCAACTCAAATAGGTTAAAGGACTTTATCACAACTCCTTTCCTTTCTGCGCTCTAATCTTCATGTCTAGATCTCTAAATAAAGCTGTGTTTGTGTAATATATTTTCATGTTGCTGAATAAACAACTTTAGAAGCAAGGTAGCTTCCCATTATCATTTTAGAAAAACCTAAGACTGATCATAACCATATAATATACTTTTAAATACATCAAATGCCTTCTCCTACTAAGAACTTATTCACCAAACCAGGTTTGTTAACATTACCCCCAAACACAAGCCATTTTTATTAGACCAGACAGCCTGATATTTTAATTGTTAAGAATGAAAATGCTTTGTGATAAAGAAGTTGTTATCTTATTTATCTGAAAACTGCATAGATCACATCAGGCCTATGAAAATATTAGACTTTCAAAGTATGAAAAGCAGTGTATGTTAAATGTGCATATTCAAAACACATTAGAAATACAGGGGGTCATTTACATGTTACCAAACTTCATAATGTTCCAAACCTCAGCTTTTCCCCTTGCTTGTTTTAACGAAGAATACCACAAAGACATCTAATAATACCTGTAATAGTGTAATTTTAGGAAGGGGATTTTGTATTTCATAGGATTTTCTTAAATTAGAAAGTAACAGTATTTTTTAAATAATGGTATCTATTATTCACATACTACTTAAACATATGCAGCAATTATTTTTCAAGTTGGAGGGTATTTTGTGTATCTATGCAGGTGTGCAGACTAACAGCCCTTCTGATGTATTTAACTGTGACCATTATCCAGTATTTTGTTGTAATTAGTAACGTCAAAGATGCTTTGTTACAAATGTTGATACATTCTTTGTCTCACAAAAAATGTTTCCTATCAGATTTATAATGATTTCAAAGTCTCAGCTTGCTAACCCTGTGTTAGAAAACATCTCACAAGATCTCTCCTCCTAAATACATGTCTCCTACACTTAGCAACATCTGATCCCAGTTCAGGCACTTACAACTCTACTCCCCCTTCCCACTACATACACTGGGACTCTTTAATGCTTCAAATTCATCTTTTTTTCATTAAATAAAGTTAAGAGTCACAACTGCAGGTGCTGTACTATTGAGAGTCACTGCTGTGCCAACAGTTTCAATTTTAAACCTATTTTTCCCCATTGATGACATTAGAACTTCACCCACGGCTGTACCAGCTTATAACTTTCACTTTTAATTAAAGAAATTAAATTGGCAACATGAAACACTTTGCTTTCACATTAGCTTTGTTAATAAAAAGTGAAAGTTAAAAGCAGCATAGCTGAGGGTAAAACCCTATTCAGAGCTACGACCACAGTGAGGTGGAATGCAGGAATGGAGGTCTAAAAAAAAGATTTATTTTAAAATCATTAAAATTGCAGTAACAAATTTCTAAAAATACAGAAAATTATCTCAACACAATAATTCCCTCTTTGCTCTCTTCATGTCAGAATTGAGTTATAACTTTCCATTCAGAGAGTACTTCTCACAGAAAACTGCATTACATGCACTGTACTCTCAGAAGAGAGGAAAAGGATTTAATTGGCATGATGACTGAACTCATCTCTGGCTCAAAGAGGCAGCCCCTTCAAGTAAGGAAATTTGCATTGCCCAAGTTCAATGATCTCTCTCCAATAAAAAAGCCCTTCAGCCTACGGTACTATAAAAAAAAAAAAATCACTATCACCCATAAACATCAATTAACTTTGCAAACAACACTAAACAATTTTCATTTACTTATGTAATTATTCTTTTTACAAAATAGAAATATGACTCTCGTAGGAGTTAAGACAAGACCCTAAAACTTGACAGGCTTGTGTTACTAATACAGAGCACTCAAAATAATAGACTAATGGAATATATATATATATATATTGGAAATGAGTTTTCAAAATTAATCTGATAATAATCATGCATTTAGCCTACTTGAGTGGATGAATTAACACAGTAATTCTACCAAGATTTGCTTTATTATATAGATTGTATAATAGAAAATAGATTTTTCTGAAAACATGGGCAACCCCAAGCTGCACCTCTTTGCTATATTAAGTACTACCCTCTCAAAAAATTCATTCAGAAATAAAACTAACCAACCAAAAAAAATTAAGTACTATCTCCTATTCCTCGTGCTGCTGGAAATATTTCAATTATTAGCCCAGAACCAGAACCTTATTCAGTTTGACACACACAGCCTGCATTTTCCAGGTTTTGGAAATAGCTATGAAACCAGCAAGGAACATATCTTCTACTACAGCAAGACTGATGCTTTTGGGTTTGTTTTTTCTTTTTTAAGAAAGTCCAACGGCACACACCATGTCAAACATAAACTCCTCAAGTGATTTTAGTCTGGCTTTTGACCTTTCTGCAGTCTTAAGACTTTACTTAGCTCTTCTTGCAATTCCCTCTATGTCACTAAAGACACATTCGAAAGATCTCTGCTTCTGCACACATGTGGAAACAACAGGTTCTTACTAGGAAAACAAATGAGGGTGAAGAGCTGATTATCTCCTTTAAAGAAACTGCACTCAATGTATGTGTTCATATTCAAGACACCCCTTCCCTGTGACATTTTTATTTTACCTAATTATTCACTTATCAGGAAGATGATCCAGAAGTAACGGTAAATTGTGTGTTGCATTGCTACTATAGCATAGTATGAGTTTTCCTTTCCTATCAAGTGTGTCATCCCCCCAAATACCTCGCTGAAATGCAAACATGAGTCATTCTTCTCTAAATTGTGGTATGAAGTTTCTATTTCTCTAGTACTTATCAGGCATGGCAAGTAAAATTTTGTAATATTCTCTCATTCAACAAGCCAAATAATACTGTTATTTTGCTTTAAAGATACTCTCTAGCTTCACACTTATTTTTAACTGGGATAGTGACTTTTCTCAGATTGGCAAAATTTTTAAATCCCTTTTGGAACCTAACTTTGAGTCTATTTCCAATCCAATTTTATCTCTTTCTCTCAAAAACATTTTCTGAAGCAAAATCAACCCCATTATGGTTGCAGATCAATCAGAACACTAGTGTTAAATTTTCTTTTCTCCTCCTAAAGAAACCAACCCACTACCCAAAACAACAACAAAACCTGCAAACCCAATATCTTCTTACCCCTTGCTGAATTACAATGCAAAATTACTAAATTGGTTTCAAGGCTTCCCAAACACTCATGCTGACTCCCATTTCATTTTTGTCTATCCCTTTGTTTTTTCATCTTTTCAGTTGATTATTTTGTTAAGTTTGACTATTTAATACCACTCACTCCAATAGCCAAAACATTTCCTTGCCTTACTCTTTGTCAAAAACCTGGGCTTTGGCTGTTAACAAAGCTCCAAAGTGGAAATAATGAAAACAGAATTTTCACAGAACAGGCAATAGATGAGGCAATTTTGAAACTCTTCCTAAAATTACTCTGCTGAGTAACTTTAGAAGTATGTACAAAACATGTACAACATAAAAAAATCTGTTCATCTGAAAGTCACATTAAGAAGCTGCAGTTATAAATAAAAAAAAATCTGATTTTTAGATACAAGCATCTGTAGAAAAAAATCAGAAACAGAAATTTCATTTTAAAATCCAAAGTTTTCTAACCTTTAAGCACACAGTACTGTCAAGGTGATAAAGATGCCATGACTGGGGAAAAGACTTCTTTGCATCGTGGGTACTTCAGTCTCTACAGACAGTTTAACTATTACCCTTTTTACAGGCACAAATATCAACCACCACCCACAAACAGACATGAAATGGTTACTGATCTTTATCGCGATTGCCAGGACAGCTGGGGCAGATTTTAACTGCGTTCAGGTAATACCTGTGTCATTACAATTACTGCATTCTTTCCACAAAGACGTCTATCTCCTTACACTACTAGGCAAGTTTATAAAAGACAGAAAATTCTAAATCCTGAGTAAGGAATTAGTACACAGAAATTCAGAATAAAGGTCTCAATAGTTACTGATATTATTGCACGGGTGGTCTTAAGTTTGAGCAGCACCCTAGATTCAAAGGAAATAATGAAAAATCTATTATTTCAAATTAAGGTTGTAATCTGACCATATTTTGCCAAACTATGTCCTACACAAGTGCTGCAGTAGGTTGTCAATTCTTCAGAACAGAATGGCTGAGAGCCAGCTGAACAATCCAGAAAGAAGACACTATCAGTGTAAATTCAGTTCCAAATAAGCATTTTCACTTAGATCACAACAGCATAAGCACCTCCCAAAAGGTTCACAATACCTTCAGCTTCTCTTTCTGAACATTCATACTGATCAATCAGCATTGCTCTTCCATGGCTACTTTGTGGTTTAGTTTTGGTTATTTAACACCTTCAGATATTTTTCCAGTACACCACGTAGTTACGCCAAGCTGCCTCTTATCACTTTCCGGTTATAAAATTGATTTATGAATTCATTAATAAAATTTCTTCAAATAGGATATTATTATATTTGCTTGTTGTAGAATTCTTTGATTTGCTCTGTTATCTACAGTAATCAAACATTTTGATCATGTACTTATTTCCTAAATTTTGACTTCACAGGAGATTATTCAAGACTAAAAGAAAGAAACAACTCACAAAGATTATCAAATCATGAAGTCATTAAGGTTGGAAGGGACAACAGGAGAGGTCATCTCACCCAACCTGAGATCAGCATATATAAGGCTTCATGAAGTCAGGGAAAATGTTTTGAAGGATTACAAGCTACTGTATTTTCCTCAATGTCCTTAAAAAACCACAACCAACATAACAAACAAGCAGCAAGATACACAGAAAACATGAGTCATCAAGATGTGTTCACTGAATTAAGGAAATGGGATAAAAAATAAATACTTTTTTTTTTTTAATAAGCATTACTTATCTTTTTCAGTCTAAACATTTAAAGAGTATATACATTACATAGAGGTTTGTGGAATATTTAACAATGTGAACAGTCACAATTTAAGAGTGAAAATGGGACAGATTAAAGCAGCTACGCTGAGAAACAAATTTCCGACATAAGAAAAGGTAGGTTATTTTTCCAGGTATTTTTGTTGATTTTTTTTTTTTAAATACCTTAATTTATGAACATCAGTGGCACAAAATCAGGATGCTAAATCTTACCACTGAGTGTTAACTTGTTCTGTATTATATCTTCAGAATATACAATAAATAATTCAATGAAAATGCAATTAAAATTGAGATAACTAAAGGATAAACTTATTTGCACTTTGATATGATATACATAATTAAATTTTCAGCTACAAACAGGAGGTTTTATCTATACCTGTATGCTCCTGAAAGAGTATTATCCTAGTTTAAAAATTCAGCCTTTGGAATTAAAGTTAAAAAGGAACAAGTCCAGAAGAACTGATAGCTAACTGAAGACAGGCATGGATCAATAAAATAATGCACTTATACAGAGGAAGAACACCAAGAGCGACACACAGTATTTAAATTAAAATAAATAAATGAACAAAACTTTTTTTAAATAAGAGAAATCTAGTAACTCAGGAAGTAAGAAGCCTAAAAAAAAAAAAAAAAAAAAAATCTGTAAGAATTTACTGATTGTGTTTAAATACCAGAAGTGCAGCCTAGGATTTTCAAATGACACAGAAACCCTGGCATCTATTAAATTTCAAAGGCAATTGTGAAAATTATTTCACCATGTTATTCTGAAAAAGTTAGCCATTGCCTCCTATATTCCCAAGAACTCCTCAAATTCAGAGCTGTATCTTGAAAAATGCAGGAGAGTTCCAGGTGGTTAGGTCTGTAGTCATCAGATAAGATAGCATGACTTACTGAATTTAAGTTGTAATGTCACAACATCTTTTTGTTATAAGAAAAAAAAAGTATTTATGAAACAGATTTAATGAAATTAAATAATTGTTTGAAGTCTATGAATTGCTTAGTAGTTTAAAAAAAATAGAGCAAAACAGATACCTTGGCAGCCTTCAACAAGATTTCCCTCTCCTGTTCATCCTTCCTTTGCTTTTCTAAACGCTCCAACTGTTCAAAAAACTTTAACTGTGATCGGACATCTGTAGATTGTTCATACCACTCATCATCCTGTAAAATAAAACCAGTGTCTTATAAAATGTTTTAATTGAGACTACGCATTTAAAGACTATAGGTACTATAACTTAAAATCTTTCCATTTGTCCTGGGTTCAGCAGTAGCAGTCATTTTTCTCCTTCTTGGAATTGCTTTGTCAATTCCAAGAAGGAGAAAAATGACTGCTACTGCTGAACCCAGGACACCATTGTACTAACAATAAAAAAAAAATAAATTACCAATTTTTGTAAGCTCAGGGGAATGCAACCAGCCTGTGGTTAATAATGCAGCTAAATTTAATTAATATTTAAGCAAACTGAAAAAAAGAGGATTGATTTATCAGCAAGAGAGACATCAGAGAGTTAAAGCAAACACTAATTAAAAATCTTTAGGATGCTCAACTTTATTACTGAACAATCCTAGTTATAGTGTATAAGCCTGGTATTTGTACAATACAGAGTACCTGTATATGTACTCGTCTTGAACTAGTAACAGACATGATCAAGATGCAGCATTAAAAAAATAAAAGCATTAAAGCTAAAAATTCAGTTGAAAATAACCCTCCAATTACTATTAAAAATAGAGGAACTTTATGACAACTAAGAGCATGGAAGCTTTCCTAGGACCCAACAAACAATAAAAATTTATGACAATGAACAATGTCAGTCAGAACAGTAAGTTATTCACATTGCTTCCATCGTATTAATCTGCTTAAAATTCTCCTTTCTGACTGTAATGTTATGAATCAAAGAAAACCATTAACCAAGAAATATACAGAAGACAATGAAAACTGGAGACAACACTGTGGTTTCCCCCTAAGAACCTTTAAATACATCTTTGGCTTAGCACAGACTAAGCAAAGTGTTTTTTTTCTCAGATGCCATCCTAGGGAGAAGGAAAGAAGGACTTAACACTGCTGAAGCTGAAGAAGAATACTGGGAAGAAACAGAGATTTACTTTTAATCCAATGTAGTAGAATGTATTTCTCAATTGAAAGGAAAGATGCAAGTGCACACAGGCATAGTGGACTTCGGGGTTTTTTGAATCTATTTTTCTATCACAGTAATGTTAATTCTAGCCATAGATCCTAGTTAATTTTTCTCAAAAATGCCATATGTAATTAGTGTAACTGTGATTCAGGTTTGGGAAACTGGTGGGCATAGGTACAGTCCAAACTTTTTTGCCCAGGCTTTCACTCAAGGTTAAAACCAAACAATCAAACAAACAAATCCCTCAAGCAAAAGAGCCCCAAACCAGAGCTTCTCACTGTATATATATGCTGAAGAAATCTAAACACAGCTTAGTGTTTGACCATAGTGTGTCAATAGTTATTGTAATCTTGCTTTTACACCAGTTTAACAGCTATTAGCATCTTATTTAGGATATTTCAAATTGATCAATAAAGATGTTTGCTTTATTTGAATTTCAAGCTGGTTTGCAGAGTATTACTTAAAATTCCTCTCTGGTTTAATATATCTAAATAATTCTAATTTTCTTTAAGAATTCAATCACTAACAATGGGATAAGGTAGCATTTTATCTTGAAATGTTCTTTTTAAACAGAGCATAATGGTTTAATTACAGTGCAGAATTTGCAACTGAAATTTATTTGCTGGTTTAAGACAGATTGGTAGCTTTTGTAAAAATTAGTATTTGTCACAGACAAGGATATGTAAATTTATCATAGATTCCTTTATATTGAAACAGTTTTTATCCAATTGAAGGATACCTTGGTCTGAAAAGGAGACATCAAGAATCAACAATCTTAGTCACAATCTATGAACAGAAATAGCTTAACAGATGCTCCATGCTAGACACTTTAGCAGAGAAGATGAAAACTAATTCCTACAGAAGGAAGACAGATCTGGCAAACAGTGCTATCATCCCACACCACCTTCTATTTGCTGAGATGGACAAACCTGCCTTTAAAACACACTTTGCACAGAGAATGACACAAAACATCTACTGTATGTTATGAAAATCACACTGCATCATTCCACAACATACAGAATACCTTTCTTTGTACACTTACTTTGTACGATTCCATCCGGTGCTGGGTTATCAGTGTTACTTTTTCTATCATTGTTTTTAATCTGTTTTGTGTTGCATGGGAAATAAAAGTAACCACTTCAGCTGGCACATCAGTAATTCCAAATTTTTTAGCTAAACCAAAAAGAAACCAAAAGAGAATTAGCTTACCCGCCATAAAAAAAAAAAGACACCTTCTAAAGAACATAAAGTCACAACTTCATATTCCTGAACAGAAAACTCCACAGCAGTGTATTTATATGGCTTTGGTGATACATTCATGACCCCTTGAAAAGAGGTGTGACTGCATTTCAAAGTTTGAAAGAGATATCAGAGCTTTTTTTTTTTTAACCACTTAGAAATTTAAGCATAAGAAATTTTATTGAACCTTATCCTCGTATATTAAAATAAAGCATAAACAATTTGTTGTTCGACAAAAGACAAAGCAATTCCTTTATTTTCAGAAGCAATAGTGCACATTAATTTCAGTGTCAATGAGATGAGGCTGCAGCCCAAAGCATACTGTTGCTTATGTACTTTAGCCTACGCTACTGGCATGCTAGTGATAATAAAAACAGTTTAGGGAAAAAAACTATTAATTAAATACAAACAAATAAAGCCATATTAACAACAGTTATTAAGAAACGCCAATTGTCCCTCAAACACTGCTAAAAGTCGTGTTTGTAGTTATTTAGATATTTGGTATTTTGTGCTAAAGTTTATATGAAAAGCAAACTCTACAGTCTAACGTACTAATATATTAAGAAAACACCTGAGCTATGGAAACAAGATTATGGGTAACTCACAAGAATTCCTAAATGCATCAAAATAATTCCTGAATATTGGATATAAATTTGTAGATATTAATCTAAGCTATACTCCTACAAGGACACAGATGTAAGTAGTGCCAGTGGGACAGTATTCTGGATAAAAAACTCTGTGTCCACACACAAACATACATATATATATATATATATATAATACATATTAAAAAAATCAGCAGTTGCATTTTGTATGGATTCTTGGACTTGACCCACCGCAGGGGGGTTAACACTCTGATGACACTGAATCACTTTTCCACAAGGCTTTTAAAAACACTTGTGAATATGCTTTTGGTACGTACAAAACAGCACAGGAAATTCGTTTGAGAATATTGTTGAACACGTTTCCTGAGTGGCTAATTACAGAAGTAATCCTCGTGTGTGGGAGGGTTCCCGAAGCTCATACAAACCTGAGAGGCTTAAGAACGAGTATTTGTTTTGCAAGGCATTTTGTGGCCAAATTCAAGAGCAAGAAACCGTCACACGTCTAAAAAATGAGGGCGAACAAGTGAGCAGCGGTCTTACGGGGATGTACACGTCTGTTATTTCCATGATGTGATCTGAGGCGAGCTGGCAGCGTTCACCATCACCCTGGGCTTCTGTCAGCGCCGGGCTGCGGCCGCTCCATCAACGGGGCGGGGCGGGGCGGGGCGGTGGCCGCAGACACCGCCGGCTGGGGGCGCTGCGGCGGCCCCGCTGAGGTAACGCCGACAGCCTGGCGCGGTTATGGATACCGCGGCCCTCCCTCGCCCGTCTCCCCTTCATCTTCTGATCCGCGGTGTCTGCTTCAGTGGGTGCTTTACTGCATCACTACAGCACGCCATTCCCGCGCTTCCCAGCGCCCTATGCCATGTAATTCCGATATTAACAACTTCAAAGGGTTATTAAGGAAATTATCTCTTCAGCTAACTTAAGCCACCACCAACTCCACACTGTACATGTTACCTGAAGGATTTTAGCAATATGCACATACGCTTTTTAACTGATTTCCGCTTTATCGTGGAAAGAAATTACATCTTTCTTGGCACCCAATTTGCCTCCTGTAATAGAGATAGAACTCCGCTGAAGTTGCTGAGAGCTGAACGTGTAATGGAAAGCAGACGTATACATTCAGATCCCCGCGCTGCAACTGTTACTCATGCAAATTAAGTCCTTGAAGTTGGTAAGACTATTCATATTGGTACAAGCTATTTGTGCAAGTCAGACTTGCAATATCAAGGCTACTTGAGCATGCACCATTGTATTCTGCAAAGATGTGTAAGCAAAGCTATCAAACAAAAAACCCTAGTCTGAAAGGTAAAACGCAAGTAAGAAGGGAAATTTAATTAACTAGTATTCAGAAAACAGGTTTGAGATGAAATATTCTGCTGAGTATTCCAGGTAAGGGTATGAATAAGTAATTGTTAAAATAATGATTCTTTTAATTTCAGTAGTGTAACTACAGCTACCAAACTGAACACACACAATCGAACTATCACCACTTTAGGCTTTCCACAATAAAGGTTTTCCTAATTTTAAAGACTTTTGTTCTAAGTAAATTCAACTATCATATGGTTTGTTGCTTATTCAGCTCATTAGAAATTCACCCATAATCAAAGGACTATTCTCCGAGATGTCTGGTTCCTAAAGATTCTTGTCCTATATCCTCATCATCAGCCTCTTCAATATCCCAGTAACTTTCTACTACTGAAACCCCTCAACACAGTATTTTAAAGTTCAGAAAACTACCCGGAGGCCAGTTATAAATGTAGTCCCTCAGGAGTGTGGGCTGGGACTTTTCCCTTTTTATATGTGTCTCAGGAACCTGGAGGGGGAAGACATGAAGCACCCCTATCAAGTCTGCAACTGGCACCACACTGAGCGATGCTGGTCAGAAGGACCTGATGAGCAGCAAATTGGAACATCATGAAATTCTAGGAGGACAAATGCAAAGGAATTAACTCTATGCCACAATATGGGCTATGAGCTTCCTATCAGAGCCACAGCCCTAATGGAAAGCACATGAGAGTCTGGTGGTCAGCAGGCTAACCAGGATTCAACAGCGCATCCTGGCAACAGTGAAGACTAACAGCACAGTAATATGTATCAACAGCAAAATGGTAGGTCAACAGTAACCAGTACATCAAGGGAACAAATTATTCCTTTAAACTCAGCCCACATCTAGAATACTGCGATCAATTTTGGGACACCCTGTACAAGCCTTGAAAACACTTAAATCCCCAGAAGTCACCAAGACAGTTATGGGGTTGGAGCATATGACTTATATGAGGACGATCTGAGGGTTCTTTAGCCCAGAGAAGTCTTGAGGGAGAGGTCATTGAGAAGATTGAGCCAGACTCTTTATTGAGGATCCCTGAAAGAAAGAAATTCATAAACTGAAACAGTAGAAGTTGTGACTGCATTCTGAAGATGAGGAAGTACTGGCACACTTCGCACAAAAAAGTTGTAGACTCTCATACCTTCCAAGTTTTTAAGACTCAGACAGACAATGCCCTAAGCAGCCTTGGCTGTATTTAACATTGACCCAGCTTAGAGCAAAAGGTTGGGCTAAATGACCACTCAAGGTCTCTTCCAACCTGAGCAATTCAGTGATCCCTGTCCTCCTGCATAGCTCCAGTTTCCTCCTATGTTCCTTACTGCACAATGCCCCAGCTCCCTCATACATCTAGGATCACCCCCTGGCATGCCTCCTAGCCATATTTGTCCAGCTTGCTAGCTGGGCACAGCCTGCTCAGCCTGAGGACAGCCTGAGTAGTCTGTACAACAGCACTGATTGGCAGCCAAGCAAAACAAAGAAAAAGGTCCATTTCCCCCTCAACTGTGACACACGGAGCAATCTAGCTGCCGATTTATCAATGGATTCAAAAGTTACCTGAAGGGATAGAGAAGGCAGATGAATAGAATGTTCAATCATTTAAAGCCAGTTTTCTTTGGAAAACAGGCTAAGGAAGAAAGAATACAAAACAAATTTCCCCCCAAAAATGAATTAGTGTCAAGAAGCCAGACTACAAAAAAAACAAAAAGATACTTTTTTAAAAAGTCAGCTGGTGTTGCACAACATTTATCATGTGTGGAAGCATCATCACCTCTTCCCTGCTACAAATAACATTAGTTAAAACCCTGTTAGCATAAGGTGTCAGAAGCAGGGTGCATTCCAAAGCTGTATACTACATGACGATTTGGCATCCTCCTACTTCAATAGCTGAATTGTATTTGGGGCAAGGATGGGAAAATTACCAATCTCATCTATGCTTGGGAAGGCTGGCCTACTTATACTTTCATAAACAATCATGCATGCCCCTTTTACTGATCCACTGACCTAAGAAAAAGCTCTCATACCACTGTTTACAGATCGTCATCTTTTGCTTTGTTCTACTCAGAGAAAATGCCAAGCAGAAACTGAATCTATGTAAAGGGCTGAAACCACTACCTTCTAGATACTTCTATATTACAGACTTAGGTTGTTTCTTGGCTTTTGTTTTCTTTGCTGCTGCATTTCCTCCTTAGTTTAATCACATTCATAAAAAGCACACTGGAATTCTGTCTGCCATCAAAGGAAAATAATGCTGATCTCTAACTAGGAAATTCCTGAGATATTCTTCTAATGTGTGTAACTGCTTTTCACAGTTTTAGTATCATCAAGTGACATGGAAGAAAGGCTTCTCTTCCCTTTGCAAGTTTCCCTAGCCTGATGATGATGATAAATATATAAAAATATATAGTTTTATATTATATATTACATATATATTATATATAATATAGATATATTTATATTCTTAAAACTACAAGAGGAATTAGAGATGTGTGCACATCCACAGGGGTATGACATAATAGGCATCACAGAAACATGGTGGGATGGCTTCTATGACTGGAGTGTTGGAATGGAAGGTTACAGGCTCTTTAGAAAAGACAGGCCTGGTAGGTGGCAAGGGGGAGTTGCCCTTTATGTTAGGGATAGGCTGGAGAGTATGGAACTCTCTCTGGGGACAGGTGAGCAGTCCACAGAGAGTTTGTGGGTCAGGGTTAAAGGGAATATAGCTATGGGAGACATTACTGTGGGGATCTGTTACAGAGCGCCTGATCAAGGAGAACCTGCGGATGAAGCACTCTACAGACAGATAGGAAAAGCCTCACGCTTGCAAGGCCTTGTTCTCATGGGGGACTTCAACCACCCTGACATCTGCTGGAAGGAGGGTACGGCCCGGCACAACCAATCCAGGAGGTTCCTCGATTGTGTGGAAGACAACTTCCTTCTGCAAGTAATAGAGGAGCCGACGAGGAGAGGTGCCATGCTTGACCTCGTGCTCACCAACA